CCGCCGCCGCCGCCGCCGCCGCCGCCGCGGCTGCCGCATTCCTGCACTGATAAGACAGAAATAGTCCGGCGGCCCGGGGTCTGCCTGTTGACTCGGCGGGGACAGAAAAGCCTGCCTTTCCAACCCTCGCTGTCCAAACAGCGCAGATAAGCAGCGAGGCACGCCGGCAAGCCCGGCTCCTGGGCGCTGGGCAGCGCCACTGCAGCCCGAGGCTGCCCGAGGGCCGCGGGGAGGCGGCGCGGGGAGGAGACGCGAGGGGAGGTGGCGGGGGGCTCGCCGGCCACCCGGGCTCTCGCCACAAATAGTTTCTCGGTTAGAGAATTCGCCGGCAGGGCCAGGCAGGGAACAGTCAGTTCCAACTTTCCCCCCAAGTGGCTCCTGCTGCATTTCTGAGGCCCTTTCCCCAGAGACCTGGCAGGCCAAGTAGGGAAACATTCTCTGGAAGGAATCCGGGGGGAGCCAGAGCCCAGAGGAGGCCTTCCTCCTGCACCAGGCCGGCAGTGGTGGGTGTGCCCAGCGAGGCGGTGTCCCCCTGCGTCCACAGATGTGTGCGCCCTTGTCTCGCCCGCCGTGTGTGTCTGCACCCTTGTGTGGGCACGGCGCGGTGGCTGTGGGTGTGGATGTTTATGTGCGTGCACAGACAAATGCCTTCTCTGTGTGCCTCCCTCCACGAGAGCCTCTAGTGCGTGCGCGCGCGTGCGGGTGCGTGTGTGGCAGGACATGGCCTGTGTCTTCCAGCGCCGTGTGAGTCTATTTCTGGGTATGTGTCTTTGTTTGTCTCTATGTGAGAAAGTGAGGGCAACAGGGGAAGTATTTCAGAAAGAGGGAGGTGGATTGGGCTGGCAAGAGCAGGAAGAGAAACATGGGGGAGACAAGGAGCTGGGGTGGGTGCCTGGGTGGATGGGTGGAGGAAGTGAGGCAAGCAGGCCCTGATGGCTTTGGAATGGGCTGGTGGTGGGAGACCAGAGGAGCTGGGCCCGCTGAGTATGGTAGGGCCAGCCTCAAAACCCCAAAGAAAGCAGGGTTATGGGGTTATGAGGGAGCCCCAGAAGGGGCAATGCAGAGGAAGCTGGCAGTCCCTGGGGTACAGGAGGGACAGGAAACAGGAGGAGCAAATCCTGAGATCCCCAGGCTGGGAGCCCTGGCCCCGCCCATGCCTCCAAAGGCCACACCCCTCTCTCCTCCTGGAGGAGAGGCCCATGGCTTTGGGACAACAGTGGGTCAACTTTATGGGCCTCCTGGGGCTGCACTGTCAGAATCTAGGTGAGGATGGGGCGATGCCTGGGGGAATGTGTTGGAAAACTTATTTGAAGTTAAACCCTGCAGACCCAGCATTACACTGGGGAGTCCTGACCCTCAATGTTTCAGAATGCCTTCAGAGGTTGGGACAAAGAACCAAGGGAGTGTTCTGCTCCAGGATCCTTCCTTGCCTGCGGCCTGATTCCCTTGGGCCCTGGTTGTGCACCTGGCTGTCATTGTCCGTTTAGGTGCCCACTGTCAATCCCCTGAAAGGCCAGAGAGGACGTGTGTCGAGGACACCCCTCCTCTACGGCCGGCTTAGCAGGGGACCTAGAGATCCCATTCCTATTAAATCTCTACCCAGGCTTCCCCCTAGAGCCACACATACCGAGACTGGGCCCTGGTGGGGTGGGGATGGGTGGGCAGTTGCCATAGGCCATGAAGGTGGCTACTGGTAACCTGGAGAGGTAATCTCTCTAGTCTGTCCACTAACCTCTAAAACCTGTCACTCATTCCCATTTCTAAGCCTCTGCTCCAGCTATTCTTTTGCCTGGAATCCCTCTACTGCTCCTCTGCCTGTCCAGATCACATTCATCCTTTAAAGCCCATGTCTCGCCCCACCTCCCCCAGGAAGCCTTCCTGGTCCCACTCCTATGCACAGGTCTTTCTCTTCTCCGAATGCCCATTGCCATCCACCCTGCACCATGAATTGGCACTTGACTGACTAATGTCTGATGTGCCCTGTGGTTCATGTGTATTAGATTTGGTTTCCCAAATAGGCTGCAGCTCCCTGAAGTCAGAGACCGGTCTTTAAGTCCCACTCTCCCCTCATGCCTGGACACAGGGACTTGACATGACCAAATGCCTGCTAACGCTTGCAACCACCCAAAGCTCAGTGGGCCAGTGGACCGAGCTCATGCTCTGACACTTACCTGGACATGTGAGTCACCATGGGCACCCCACCCCCCATGGGTGCTTCTAGCATGAACACATGAACCCACAGGCCTTGGAGGTTCTGGGGGACTGGGCAGGGGCAGTCACCTCTAGGCTTTGTGTAAAGCTCAGAGTTCTCAACTCTTGGAGAGGCCTTTTGGGAAAAGAAGACAGCAGAGGAGGTGGATGGGCACCCCAGACTGGGCAGCTGAAAAGTTTGAGGGAAGGGCACGAAGGGCAGTGGGAACACCCAGCATTTGTGAGGGGCTGGTCTTGGTGGTGGAGGAGATTGCAGGAGGTGGTTAGACCAAAGGCTCTGGTGGTACCTGAGGAGGAGCCCACAAGTCATTCAAATCTATAGATAACCCCCTCCAGGGCCACCCCAAGACCAGGGCCTACCCCTGCAGCCCCCTTTCTGGGAGACATTCTTATGTGTGCACAGACAACAGATATATAGTGCATACATGCCCCGAGGCACACACCAATGCAAACGCCAAAGGGACAAGGAGCCACATAGATTTTCACACACAGGCACACCCTGATCACCTCCACATCCCACTTGCAAGGCCCAATTCACAAGGCACCCGCCAACAGACAGGTTTGCATGCTGCTTTTACGGGGGCAACCCTAAGTGTAAGGACACAGGGGACCCTTCAGACTAGAAAGCAGAGGCGCCAGTGTGGATGTCCCAGCCAGGACTCCCACCTCACACAGGCCAGGAACCCCGAAGTCTCAGCCCCAGAAGGGCGCTCAGCAGTGCCATGCCGCTGGCTCCTGCCGGTGGGAAGGAGGCCCAGGGAAAGCCCGATTCCAGCAGGCAAGGGGCTGTCCTCCAGGCCAGACCGGGCCCTTAGCCGCGGCCAACTGGCCCAGGTCGAGCTCCGGGCAGGCCGTGCGCGTGTCCGGGCACAGGGCGGCCGCCCGGAGGCCCGGAGCCGGAGTCCCCCCTGCCGTCCCCCCATCTCTTCTTCCCTCGCCGAAGCACCACCAGCACCAAATGGCAAAGCGCCTCTCCCCGCGCAGGGAGAGATGAGCCGCGGCCGGCGGGATGGGCTCGGCGCCCCCTCCCCCCACCATCACCGCGCCCGAGCGCTGGGGGCACGTCCCGGCCCGCGACCGCCCGCCCTCACCCTCGCCCGCGGGGGCCCGGGACAGCGGCGGGAGCCGGCCCCGAGCCGGCCCAGGCATGCGCACTGCGGCCTCCCTCCCGGTGAAGGTCAGCCCAGGGCCTAGCTGCAGGACTCAGAGGCGGCGGGGAGAGGCAGAGGAGGGAGGAGGGATGCAGCGAAGAGACTTAACTCCTTCCCTGCGGGAAGACGGCCACCGAGGCTGGGGCCGGAGCCCGGAGTCCCACCCTCCCCGCCTTCTGTGGAGGTCCCATTACGGGGACCGGCTCAGGGGGAGGGGGGAGGAGGGGGAGGGAGAATGGAAGAAGGCGGCTAGGAGGAGAGGAGGGAAGCTGGAAGGGGAGAGGGAGGAAGGCAAGGGAGGAACAAAGGAAACCAGACTGAAGGGAGAGACCTCTTCCCGCTGCCCCTTTTCCCTACACCCTACACCCCTAGCAATAAAGCCTTCCTTAGCAGAAAGACATCGCGTGTGAGTGTGTGTGTATGTGAGAGAGAGAGGGAGAGAGAGAGAGCAAGTGAGGCCACCTGGAGCTCTCAGGCTGAGGACCCAGTGATTTCTATGTTCTGGCCCATCCCTAAACCCAGCCCCCACCTTCTCCTTTGGTCACTAAACCCCAGGGCATGCCAGGGGCCACAGAGGCAGCTCTGACCCAGCCTACCTGCCTGGCCTAAGTCCCAGGCCCCCAGGGAACCCTGGCTAGACCAGAGATGGGTGGAGGGGAGTCTGCACCTTAACCCCCACCTCTAGTGAGGGGCTTCCTCCAGCCAGCAGACAGGACATTGGCAGCCCAGACCAAGGGCTTTGTGGCACAGTCCTCCTCCTCCTCCTGGCTACCCTCACTACTCTTCCCAGGCCAGAGTAGCGCTGCGTACCTCCCTCTTTGTGCAAGAATGTTTCCGAGCCCGGGACACCCTCTGCTACTATCGAGGGGGCGGTCTGTCTCTCTGTGACTTCACCTTTCTGTGTCAGTTTTGCAAAGGCACACAAGAGAGACAAATAGGATAGAAAGAAGCAAAAAACAAAGAAAAAGTAGGACACCTAAACAGTTGTGTGACCTTGGGCACCTCGCTGGACCTCCCTGCCCCTCAGCTTCCTCAGAGTAAAAGGAGGGGTGTAGTCAGAGGATTCCTAGGGCCTTCCTGCCTTGAAATCCAAAGATTCCATAAGACAGAGACAGGAACCAAGACAGACGAGGCAGGAAGGAGAGAGAGACAGAGACACAGAGAAACAGGCCCACACCAAGTAAGGGGTGCTGTCAACCCGCAATGAAGCCTGGACCCTGTCACCCACACCACCATGCGGTCAGCCTCCTGCCAGCAGGGCAGGGCCTTGCCTTGGGGTCCAGAGGCCTGCAGGATAAGCAGGTGCATGATAAAGGTTAGCTGAATGAGTCAGTCCTTCCTCTCGTTGCCTGCGTGTGTTTCCTCAGTCTAACGGGCGCTCTGTGACCCCCGTCCTGGCCCCTCACATACTCCTCACACATGATCACTGCAAACATCAGGCTGCTGAACGTGCTGGTGGCAGGAAGAGGGAAGAGCTGGGCCTTGGGCTCTGAGCATCTGTATGCCCAGAGGGAAGGCACATTTGGGATTCA